CAGATTAGCTTATAAATTTACTAGTAAATAGGTTAGTTGTTGTACAAACATATACAAATATATTCATTGGAATAGGGTAGATTCCATAGAGCACTCTAGTATAATCTCTCAGAATGGCGAAGTCAAATTTCAACCAAACAGTAGAGGGCAGGCACTTGAATGGAATGGTGTGGGATCAAGGGCAAAGGGGAAGAATGAAGCTGAGAAAAGGAGAATGTAGATAAGAATTCACTGGAAAGCCAGGTGCTGGTGGCTCACTCCTGCAATCGTAGCTACTCAGGAGGCTGAGATCTGAGGATCTCAGTTCAAAGCCAGTCTGGACAGGAAAGTCTGTGAGACTCTTATCTCCAGCAAACCACTAGAAAACCAGAAGTGGCGCTGTGGTTCAAACAGTGGAGCAATCACCTTGAGCTGAAGAGCACAGGGACAGCACCCACACACAGATTATGAGGAGTGCACAAAGAGTGGGTAGTGATGGATAGTGAGAATGTTTAAAGGGATGACATTGATCAATTTGCATTGTATTCATAACCTGCTGCTTTATTTATTTTTTTATTGTGAAAATACTGTATAAAGGGGTTATAATTACATGGGCTAGATAATGAGTACTTTTCTTGTCAAGCATTGTAGCCTCCTCCTTTGTTTCCCCTTCCCATCCCTTCCCATCCTCCCCCCATCCCCCTAGCCAAAGTTGTAAAGTTCATTTTCCACATAATGACTTGTACATCTCATTGTTGCAATGGGTCCACCTGTATTCCTATTTAAACAATTTGTGCTTTTTTAAATGGCAATTCTTTTGTATAACTGCTTAAACATTAAAAATGGGAAACAAAATTAATGAAGGAATGGTAAAGTAGGTCTTCTCTGGGTATGGTTACTCATGGGATATATAGAGAGAAAACAGAGTTAATATGGGGAAATACGGTAAAAATATTATATGAACATATAAAAATGTTTCTAATGAACATTCAGAGTTGTAATTGTGTAGTGATAGAAACCACATGACTCTAAGAAGTGATGGGTATGTAATGTGTAAAAGAGCCAGATCATGATTTTCAAGGAAGGACTGCAAAACTGTTATGAATTAAAAGCAGACTGAGATCTAGGCCAGTTACAGCAACCTGCAAGTGGGTTCTTTTGTCATAAATGTTGTTACAATTGTCAAAGTCAAAATGGTCTTGCAGTCCACAGGACATGATTTAGAATATCATCATTTTATTGGGTCAGATAAGAGAATGCCCTGTTTTTAAGAAATTTTTAGTCTGTAAAACTATGTGAGCATATTCTGAAATGAATGAGAAGAAAATACATTTTTTACTACACTTACAACCCATCTGTAAGGGTAAAAAAGTTTCAAATAATTTACAATACAAAATAAAATTCCTTAACCATATGCTGAAATTATTCTTCCTTTGTAAGACAAATCACTTTTCTACAAGTATCCAAGATAATAATGTTTCCTCAAGGATATGACCCTTAAAAACCCATATGTTTCTTAATGCCCACCTAATAATTGCCTAAATCTTGCTCTTGGTTTAGGGACCTCCATATTCTGTCCTTTGAGTGTGGCCTTATTCATCAACCTGGAAGTTCTTACCCGTAATGATAAATATATTTGTCAAAGAGAAATTAATTTTCACATCTTCCAGCCAAGCAAGATGGAACCAGAATTAGGATAAACCTAAAACCCTGGACTAGTCATGATCTACTGCAAAACAATGACTCCCAAGTAAGATTCAAATCAACATCACATCACTGAGTTTGGAAACATAGAGAGGAAGAGAGAAGACAGAGATCAAAAGCTCCACTAGAAATGTAAGAATGCCAGAGTCCTGACACCTGATGGATCACAAAGGACCCTATGAAAAAGGCAGTGTCTTCATTCAAGTCCCTATCTTCTATTTCAATTGGAGCCTTATATGTGACAACAATAATCAGAGTCTGGTCAACTAGAAAGAACTTGGAAACCCAGAAAAAGTGGTATCACTCTTTAATATATATCATTGCTCCCAGAAATTAGACCACTCACATAGTGCTCCTTCAGTCATTCTGACAGAGCTGACAATTCAAGTACCAAATTTCCTTTGGAGGAATGGGGAGCATGATGGAGGGGCTGACACAATGTATTGAAGTAATAAACTGATTTGGAGAATGATACCTTCTTATGCAAATACTTAACATAATAAATACATAATTTACAAGGTATCAATTATTTTCATCATCATTACCATGTGGCAACAAAAGTTTCAAACTAAAAAGTTCAGGCCTAAATTTCATAGACTCTGTGTGTTTCTTCATTGGATCTATCCTGTTCATAGGATAGATCACAGCAGTAGTCCATTCCCCAGGTCCACAGTGGGGCTAACCCTGCTGCAGGGAAAGAGAGCTCAGTTGCTCCTCTATTCTTTGACTTGAGGTTTGAAAGCCTGCAAAACTGCCCACATTGGCTTTTTCTGGCAGGTCCACTAGATAATATGTTGATTAGCAACAATATGTTTAGGTGATGTTCTTGGAGTAAACTTGCTTCCCTTGCTCCTGGGTGGAATGGCTACTCTTGCTGATAGTTGTAAATATGAATAACAGGCAGAAACGTGCACATTCTAGAATGTCAAATTACACAGTCTTATGAAGTGTTATGGAATAGATTCCTGCAAAGCTTCAAGAAACACATCCAACAAGGCCACTGTTAATTAAGCCTGCAGAAGCGTCCCCAACACCTGTGGCTTCAGCTTCAGGAGACTCTCTAGTGAAGAAAGATATTCCTGTAACTCAGAAGTATTACAACTCTGAAACAGTACAGATACCAGAGACCAAGGCTCTTTGCCTGCAGCCTTTTCTGTATGGACTATATCATATTTGTATTTCTTGAGGATTCATCCATTGTGTTATCCCAAACCACCAATCTTATCTTGGATATAGATTCAATGCACATTTTCCCACATACAAATTCACATTCTGTGAAACATCAGGAGAAATACATGACCACAGAATACATTGCAAACATTTTCTTTGCAAACAAAAGTTATTTATCTCAATTCAGATGATGGGGAAACCCAAACCCACTTGGTGGTTCTCCTTCAGAAGTCTCAAGTATAATTCCAGGACTAAATTATAATGGTGAATCCAAAGGAGTATTTCATTTATAGACTTTTAAAGAAAATAATAATCTTATTTGCAATAACTACTATAAGTATAGGAAAAGCAGAAAAGGTCAAAAGCTATGTACTTATGACGATATAAGATGATATTAAGTGAATTGAACCCAAATATAGGGACACAAATGATTTTTTTCTTTCTTGCTATTGTTTATAATGTATGTATAATGTACTATGTGATTTTGTTTGTTTCTTTGGTATGTTCCTCCTCATGGTATAACCCCTGTTTCACTGTATTTTATTTTGGTGCCCTGCATCTTGTATATACATTTTTCTAATTTGGGGAGGGGAAGGGAAAAACAAAATGTTTAAATAGGGATACAGGTTGACCCATTGTAACAATGAGATGTACAAGACACTATGTTGGAAATGAACTTTACAACTTTGGCGTGGGGGGAGGGTGGGTTGAGGGGTGGGAAGGGGCAGGGGATTAGTTGTAGTTGGGAAGGAAGGGATGGTAGGGGGAAAATAAAGGAGGAGGCATCAATGCTCAATAGGAAATATACTCATTACCTTACTCATGTAACTGTACCTCCTCTGAACAGTATTTTTACAATTAAAAATGCATAAAAATTACTACTGACAGATTGCATATGGGACTCATGTTTTTCCTTACTAAATCTCCACAATCTAGGTTCCCCAGATCTTCCTTTAAGTCCAGATCTGTAAGTGTTTAACTACATGATTTAATACACTGTTACATTGTCGCCTGTGGATAAATTAGAACAGAACAGAAAAAATTGGAATGATGTGATCCAATAGAGAAGGTTGAGCAGATTGGGAGACCAGACATCATTCCCATCTTCCTTTAAACTCCCTTTCAACAGCAGGCAAACTCAGTTTGTAGGAATGCAAGTTAGCATAGCCAGTATGGAGGACAGTAAGGAAGTTACTAAACTATCTAAAAAGAGACATACCAGATGATTTGGCTATCTCACTCCCGGGAAAACATCTGAAGGAAATAATGCCAACATACAAAAGTGATATTTATAAAGGAATTTCTGCATATATAGATTTATTGTGATACTGTTTTCACTAGAGAATATTTGAAATTGATCAGTTGTGCTAGAATCAATTAGAAAGTAGTGATGAACTGGTCCATATATGTATGTATATCTGTGTATATGTATATATATACATATTTATGCTTGTGTGTGTGTGTATATATATATATATATATATATATATATATACAGAACATATATAAAGAAACGAGAAATCCTGTAATCTACAACAAAATGAATGGAACTGGAGGACATTCTGTTAAAATGAGCAAAATGAAAGGCCATTATGTATGGTCTTTCTCATTAAAACAAACTTAATTAAAATAGAAGAGTAACTATGTGGGCCTGAAAAGGGCTCCAGTTCAGGAGGCAGGAGGGTGAGCACAGGGGAAAAATAGAAGAACACATTCAATATACATAATATATATATATATATATACATAATATATATGGAGAATCCCAGAATCTTATTAATAGATACTGCTAAAATATGTTAATAAAATAGATATCAGAAAAGTCACGACTATAATCTGAAGCAATGAATCTGTTCTTTGTATTATAAACAATTCCTGGTGGTAGCTCATACATGTAATATTAGCTATTCTGGAAGTTGACATCTCATGATCCTAATTCAAAGCTGTCCTGGGCAGGAAACTTTGTGATGCTCTTAGCTCCAATTAACCACCAGAACACCAGAACTGGAACCGTGGCTCAATATGTTGGAGTGCTAATCTTGAGCAAAAGAACTCAAGCACCAAGAGTGACAATAACAAAAAGCCATTGCTGCTTAGAATATCTATTACTTGTGTTATTGTTTTATGAATCTCAACTGTTGACACAATTCACACTCTTCAAGTCTATATTGTCTATATATGAGCAGCTCTGTCAGCAGGTGGAGGCACCAGGAGGAGCAGCTGGGGCAGCTCAGACTCTCACTTCTGCTTCCCTGGTAGGTTTTTGTCATGGCTTATATCACTGTGGGAGGAAAGTTCATATGCTGTTGACAGTAATAAGTGGCAACATCTTCAGGCTGCAGGCTGCTGATGGTGAGAGAATAATCTGTCCCAGATCCACTGCCACTGAACCTGGATGGAACACCAGATGCCAAAGTACTACTACCATAGATCAGGAGTTTAGGGGCTTTACCTAGTTTCTGCTGGTACCAGGCTAAATAGCTATAAATGTTTCCACTGCTCTGCAAGTGATGGTGGCTGTTCCTCCTACAGATGCAGACAAGGTGGATGGGGACTGGGTCATCTGGATGCCACACCTCGCATCTGGCAGGGGAAACATGAAACAAAAATCCACATTATTACCCGAACTATAAGGAGGCTCTCCTGAAGAGTAAAGCATCATGGATCACACTGAGCAATTTTATTGCCCAATATTCTTTATCCTTACCTGGGAGCCAGAGCAGCAGGAGCCCCAGGAGCTGAGCAGGGATCCTTATGTCCATGCTGTGTGATGACTGGGACAGACTGCTACGCCGACTATGAGCAGCCTATGAAGAAGTCCTGAGGACAGTGGGCTGTGGTGCTGGCACATGCAAATCATCAGCATCTGGACAAGGTTAAACACAACTTTACAACTCCCTCATCTCAGTATGTCTACGCATTTAGAATCTCAGGAGACTTAGGTCAGGCAACGCACTGTATTGTTTCACAGAAGAGAATCAGCACATTTTTTTCTTCTGGGCACACCATTGATCTCATTGAGGATAAAAACCTCTTTTCATTTCTTTATCTGAGACAAAACCTGTCCATTAAAAGGTTAGTTCCAGAAATTTACAGACATTTTCACAACACTCATTTGGAATATGCCTTTATTTTCCAGAGCCGGAAATTTGGGAATTGCTCTGATTCACTGATAATCTTTATGTGGCAATTTGTCATCACTGCTCTCCTGTAATGTGATCCTTAGAGGTAAAATAAGAATATGGAGCTATTACATTGATTAGGAAATCATTAAACTTGTGAATTGTGCAGCACAGCCTTGTTTCTCCTATAACTCTGAATTTCTTGCATAAGCAGATACATAAATGCAAGACATTTTCTTCTCTTCAAACCTGACCAATATTTTCCACCATCCTAGTGGTGTGTATAAATTATAATGTGCATTATTGAGGACTTCATATTCCTTCTTGGTTTTAAACATCTTAACCAAAGCCACTTTGTTTGAATCAGAGATTCTCCTTGGAAAGAAGGATAAACTTGGGTTATGCTGACGCCTACTGAGTTGCCTAAACCTACAGATTTTCCTTTCACTTGGTGGTCTCTTATAGTTACAAAGGGAACACTGAGTTTCACACCTGTGTTAAAGAATTTGGGCCCAAGTAGAGTAAGTAGAACCATGGAAAGGAAGATAAGGTTGGAATTTTTTAACCGAATCCAGGAGCTATCAGTACATGGAAATGTCATTCATATTGAGAGGAAGCAACCTGGGGCTTAGAAGCAAGAATGAGGAGAGCTGATTGTTTATGCTGGGGAGGAAGAGCATTGCTGGCTGCATTGAAGGTGCTGAGGTGGAATGAGACACAAGGACATCCATATGGGCCTGTGCAGTTGTCACAGTGCCCACAAGTCACTACTGCATGGGATGCAAAGTTGACTCATCTCAGCAGTGTTATGCCAGTCTGACCAATATATGAGTAAATATGTGAGGGGGGTTGTATGCTATGATCATGTAAGTGACAGTGACAGCTGGTGTTTCTCATCATCCAAAAAAGTTAATCATGTGCCTAAATTCATGAGAGATCAATGGAGCCGACAGCACTACTCTCCAGGGAAAGAACTGTAATCTAACTACAGGAGAACTTTGTTTCCAACAGCACTACTCTTGAGGGAAAAAACTGTAATCTAACTACAGGAGAACTTTGTCTAAGAATAACTTATTGTCGTGTATGCAGGTGGACAAATTACCATAAATTCATACATATATGTATGTATATATAAGACTAGATTAATGAATGTATGGATGGATAATTTTCACAGCCTAGAAGTAATGATGCTCTACTTCCATGAATAGATAGCACCATCACTAATGTATCTGTAAACTTTCTCCAATAAGTGAAACAAGGGACCCTTGCAGAAATAATTGATTTTTTTATCGAAATTAGGAAAGTGTAAGATTATTTCGGACCATTTTCTGCTAAAAAAAAATCCTGGTGTGTGAGGTAAAGGAAAAAGTGGAGGATCAGCTAGCATGGGATACCCACTGGCCAATTTCAAGGGATGTTGAATTCCATATAAACAGTAATATACACCATTAAATCAATTGTAAATCCTTAGATTCACCATGATATTTTCATAAGAAATGGGATATTCTAAAATGATTTAAAACTTCACATATTTTCATAAATTGCAAAAGGGAAAAATTATTATACAGCAGAGAAATCTGGCAGCCATCACGTAGTCTAGAATTGAAATGAATATCACCAGTAATGATGATTCAAACCATGGGTCTGTTAACAGTCACCATAAAAAGAACACAGTAGCACTTCTGGACTTTGCTCACATATATGCACTACTGAATGTAACCTGCAGGAAAATTGCGTGAATCTAGTTTGAGAGACATTCAGAAACATGGCTGTTGTGCAGTCACTGAGAATGATAAGACCATGATTATATCGTGTTTTATTCTTACGCAGTAGGATGAAAATAACATATATTCTTCCATTAGAACTCATTCATCATTTGGCAATATTTCACTGTCAGTAGACAGAGATTTCAGTTTATAGAAGAATGGAGAAACAAAAGGTAATTCAAGGAGGAAGCTCAAACAAAACTTAATTCAGGTGTTCATTTGTTATAGCAAGATATGATTTTTTCCTACCTCTCTCCTCTGTCCTCCTGTGTTCTACTTCTGTAATTAGGAGAAGAATTTTCCTTGTTGTTAACAAATTGTAGCACTGTGTATACTCCTTGCCATGCACAGGCTTCTATCTACCACTAAGATCTGTTTCTCTCCATGAGGTCAAGACAGGTAAGATCAATGTGGACAAATGCAGGAGACAATCACTGCCCAGGGAATGTCTTCTCAAACAGGCCATCCATCTGTCCTGCAATGGGATTAATTTAAACATCCTTAAAAGCAAACTGCCTACAAACAATAATAGTTGTTTGTAGTAAGAGCTCTGAAGTGCATAACAGATGCATTGGAAGAGCAAACATATATGCCCATTCTTTCATCTATGACCAAGACCATAAGTTATAGATTAAAGAAGGAAATTAAGTTACATTTTAAAGAAAGTATCATTATGAATCTTGGGAATATAATTGATTCAACATAAAAAATTTCTCCCTTTGCCTGTGAACAAACCACTTAAAATGAAGATTGGTTCTCTTCATTAACAGAGATATTAAAAATGGTCTAAGATGCTCTGTTACAAAGGAATAAATGTTTTGAATAGAGAGTCAGAATCTGGTTCATGTGACTCATCTGTGTGTTTGCTGATTTCTAATTGCAGGGACATGATGGCATGAAAAATGAATATCCTTATTCAGAAGATGAGTTAGTTAAATGGGCTTCAGTGAGATCATACAGGATATATTTAATGAACCACAGATGTTCAATTTTAACTTATTTCTTCTTCCTCTTAGTTGAAGAGACTAAATGTGTTCCCAGATGCCCACTACCAACTTTCCTTGAGTAATAGTGTTGCTAGAGAGAGTAGCGAAAGGGCAGCAGGTGGGGTGGGGTGGCTGGAGTCTCAGGACACAGGACAGCATTGTCTTGCCTTTGCATTAAAATGAGGGTTCTGTAAGATCAGTGGTTTGTGTCTACAAGTACTCGTGGTACTGTTTCTAAAAGTGGTTCTTTATATTTAGTGTAAGGAAATGTAAGAGAGCTCAAGAACTGAAGTTATTTCAGCTTTTACTCCCAGAGGAAGCTGTGACACCTGTGACAGAGGGATTGGTTAGCATTTGAGATGTCATTGGGGGAACTAGTTGTCCTGAGATAGAGCAATGAGAGAGATTCCTAAGTATGTGAGAACTCATTTTTGGAAATGGTGTTTGCACTGATGGAAATCTAATTAGTCTCTTTGGATGATCAGGATGTGTTAGCTAAGACCTCAAACATGTGAGGTTATTGTGTTTTCTATTCTCAGATTCCCATGTGGTCTTTCATATTGCTATTGGGACCTTATTTGTTCCACTATTTTCTTCATATATTTCTTTTTAGGTGTTTGATCAAAGATCAGAAGCTTCAATGATGTTTAAACATTTGTAGCATTTATAATCCATAAAACAACTACTTTGAAGTCTACTTAGCATTTGGTGGTTGGTTACTGATGTCACTGATCTTTTTTAAACTTTTCATTTCCAATTTATTGTTTGAATCTCTAATGGCTTACCTTTATCTACATAGCATGACAAATGCCAATGATGGGTCAGGTTTCCTACACTACAAGTCCATCCTGCTTCTTCCATACACCCTGGTGTGTGGATTGAGAGTGCATTCAATGTGCATGCAGGTCACCTCACTTCCCTTTGTTCAAGGCCTCTCTTGTGTCTCTGTCACTCACACATGGAGTGAGGTTTCAGAGAAGAGTATTGAGGGGAGGCCTAGAAGGGATGGGGAGAATGATGAAAGGGTGTCATACTTATAACTGTATTTGTACTTACAAACTGATTGGTTGAATGGTAACCACTTTGTACAACTACTTAAAGACAATAAATGTATGAGTAAAATTTAAAAAAAAATTTGCAGAACACCAGAATCAAATACTATGGGGGAAGAACATACAAAGAAATAAACAAAAAAAGATCACATAGTATAAGTACATTAAAAAGAACAGCAAGAAAGATAAAATGTCTTGTGTCCCTATCTTGGGGTTCATGTCACTTAACATGAGCTTATATGGCTATACGTACAGAGCTTTTCACCTCTTCTGCTTGTCCTAGGCATATACTAGTTATTGCAGATAAGGGAAACCATATAACCTATGATTCTTTGGGTCTGACTTATACCACTTAATATAAATTTTCCAGGTCTTTCCATTTCCTAACAAATGGGTTGATGCCATTTTTATGGACGCATAGATTTCCTTTTCTTAATCCATTCATCTACTGAGGGGCATGTGTGTTGGTTACATAGCTTAGCTATTGTGAATAATGCAGTGATAAACATGGTTTTTCTGGTAGTATGGCCTTGTTTGTGATTGTTTGGGTATATGCCTAAAAGTGGGATTGGTCAGTGATAGGGGAGCTCTAGTGGAATCTTTTGAGGAACCTCCAAAGTGCTTTCCAAAGTGGTTGAACAAATTTACATTCCCACCAACAGTGAAATAGAGTTTCCTTTTTGCCACATCCCCTCCAGCAACTGTTGTTATGAGAGTTCTTGATTATAGCCATTCTAACTGGGGTGAGGTGGCATCTCAATGATGTTTTGATTTGCATTTCTTTTATGTCTAGCAAAGTTGAGCATTTCTTCATGTGTCAATTGGCCATTCTTATTTCCTCTTCAGAGAAGTCTCTTTAAGTCTTTAGCCCACTTATTAATCAGGCTGTTG